GCATCAGTAGTTCCAGCTTCTTGAAAGGCTGAGGTAGATGAATAACCTGAGCCCAGCTGGTCAAGGTTGCAGTGACTATGACCATGCCACTGCAGTCCAGTGACAGAATACGACTCTGCCTCTAATAATAATAATAATAAATAAAAATGCTTTTCTTATACAATACAATAATGTCTTTCACAGAACTGCAACTTGCATGAAAATTCAATGCTAAACTCAGCTTTAAGGAAATCACTTTAAGGAAAACAATTTTGCTAAGGAAGACAAAGTAGAAACTACCATGGTAAATAAAAGGAATTGAGAGAGTTTATTGAAATATTGCTGTGCAATATCCGTCTATGCTTTTCTCTGAACTTGTGACTGGCTTCGATGTCACTCTCTCCCCTTCTATGAGAAACAAACTCGCCGGTCTAAAATTAAAGGATGGACATGGAGACATGAAGTACAGCAGAAGTGAGACTTTAATGGTGGTTTTGCAAGATTGGGTGTCTGCTAGGCAGGCACACCTGGGACAGCTACAACAAGCAATTCTCTAGTGTGAAAATCCCTCCCCCGGTTTTTCATTGACTGAGTACTGTGGGGTGTACAATCTTTTCCAGACTTTGCCTAAGTTCCATTTTTTTTCCTTGTCATAAGGTTGTCCCTAGTTCCCTTCCATGTTAAGTCTCTATTTTCTTAAGAATAGCGTGTTGTTTTCTCATTGGCCCGTTTCCATCTCCTAGTTGTTTAGGAGCCTGCCAAGACCTCTTGCCTGAAGATTGCTACATCTGCCAGCCTGCTTAGACAGGCCTTGAAAATAAACTATCAGAGCCGGGCTCGGTGGCTCAGCCTGTAATCCCGCGCCTTTGGGAGGCTGAGGTGAATGGATTGCCTGATACCGCGGGTTCGAGACCTGCCTGGGCAGCGAGACCACATCTCTACAATAAATTAAAAAATCATGCCGGGCTCGGTGGCTCAGCCTGTAATCCCACGCCTTTGGGAGGCTGAGGTGAGTGGATTGCCTGAGCCCGTGGGTTCGAGACCCGCCTGGGCGGTGAGACCTCATCTCTACAATAAATCAAAAAATCAGCCGGGTGTGGTGGCACATGCCTGTAATTCCGGCTACTCGGAAGGCTGAGGCGGAAGGATCGCCGGAGCCCAGCAGGTCGAGGCTGCGGTGGCCGGGAGCGGCCACTGCACTCCAGTCTGGGTGACAGAGGGAGACTCCAACTCAAAAAAAAAAAAAAAAATCAGCCGGGCGTGGTAGCGCATGCCTGTAATTCCAGCTACTCAGAAGGTTGAGGCAGAAGGATCACTGGAGCCCAGCAGGTTGAGGCTGCGGTGGCCGGGAGCGGCCACTGCACTCCAGTCTGGGCGACAGAGTGAGACTCCAACTCCAAAAAAAGAAAAGAAAAGAAAAGAAACCATCAGAATGTTTCTTATAAACTCTCTCCTCTATTTTTCTTTATGGATTGCTGACTCCATTTTCATTTTAGATTTTTTTTAATTGGCTTTATATTTGTTGACTTTTCTTTTTATAATCTACTATAGTTTCCATGAGCATTAGATTGTTTTACATTTGTTTGTTAATTGTGGTTTCTATGAATCTCTGTGTTAAGCCCTGGAAACAGGGAATAACACAACATTCCATTGCCAATAAGATTTCTGCCATAATTCTAAGAGAGGTTAGGACCGAGTTTACCATTCCCTTCCATTTCCCAAATCATTCCCATTGTGAATGGATCATTAATACCTGCTTTTTTGGTTAACTCATTAGCTAGGGTTGTTAGACCCTGTAAGGCTTTGGTGATGACTTTATCAGTGGCAGTGTTATTTGGGATGAAAAATTTCCCTCCTATCATGACACAAACTTTTCCTTGCTTTGCCAGGATCATGTTTAATACAATTTGATTTTCTCATGCCAACCAGCTGGTGGCATCCAGTTGACTAGCTACCCCTTGGAAGACATCCCTGGTGTAGTTAATAAACCTTTATTGATTATAATATATACAATTGATTCAATCCACATTCTTATTAATGGTGGACTACCAGAAGAATGATGATTCAAATCTGACAGCCATCTGATTTCTGGCCTTAAATTTATTGGGGACTCCTCCGCTTGGGACTCCTATTGAATCTATGTACACATTGGAGTTAAAAGATCCTTCTAGAGCCCTTCAGTTTCAGTGATGGACACTGTTATCCTCAGTGGATTGATGGAATTCCAAGGTGAATGGGATGGCCGATTGGACTAGTGCATAAGTCCCAGTCCAGTTAGACGGCAGTTGCACAGGCCCCTCTTTCCGCAATACCATCAAACATCCTCTTGTGGGATGTGTAGATTAGAGTAATTGTGACTCAACTCACCAATGACATTTAGGTTATGGATACAGGTCAATAGGTCTCCTATGGGCTTACTGAATTCTTACGCCCTCCTTGAGAGGCAAGAGGAGTAATTCATTGACCCTAAGGAGAAGGGAGAGATCAACCTCAGGTCTAACCTCTGTAATGTGGGAAGGAACAATGACAAACTATTGCAGGCTTTATTTCCCCATCCATCCTTGTCTTGGTTTGAAGCCATCATGCAACTCTTCCCTGCAGGGTCTGTATTCCTTTCAAGAGGAAATGGAACTATTTGCGCCTGTGGTCACCCTGCAGCGCAAGTATAGCAATTGATTTTGTTGAGCTTATGCACAGAGAATTTAATCTATTCTACTCAGACATTGACATCACCATATCCTATCTCAATCTCAGGTGTCTATTTAAATCCTTGACTTTAACTATAGTTACCCTTTTGAGATCATTAGGAGGATTGCTATGCCATCTAGGAATTGGAGCTGGTTTAGGTATATCTGACGTGTTATTATTAACTAACCTAGGGACTAGATGTCCTAAGGAGTCTTTTTCTGTGACATCTCCTTCTAATCTATATACCTGAGACGCCAACCTTGGCTTTTGATCTAGGACAATTGAGTTGTTAAAAGGATAGGGTTGCATTTTAAGTTCTGACATACTTCTGGTGGAGTACCCTTAGAAAGATGTATTTTATTTTTTAAAGGTTTCCAATTTGGGGGTGACCTACCCCAGTCTTACTGTCCATCCTTTTCATTGGGCAATCCACCAGACATCATCTCAGCTGGGTCAGGGACTGGTATTACTTTATCCAGTGCCTGGTTCTGGGCAAAGGTACTTTTCCATTTGTGATAATTGTCTCTGATTTTTTTAATTGCCACAGAATAGAACTTGACATGCATCAAACCGAATGGTTTGGGGTGTTACAGTTTTTGTTATATTTATCGCCAACTTTATTGGGTATCCATGTGTTCCCTGTCAATTTCCATTATCTTCCACCCCATTCATGATCATATATCCTATCTGTTGGGAGCCGACTGTGGAGGCCCGCCTGAGAGTTAGGGATCCAGGCAGGCTGCGGACCCTGAGACTGCTAGGACAAGTTAAGGAGCTGAAGGCCCATTCCCTCTTCCCTTCTTTGCTGTTTGGCATGATCCGCTAGCAGGGACTTTGATGATCTAAGCATGAAGTTCTGAGAGTACGACAGGCATGGCTTACTTTAGGAGTACATTGTTCTGGTTTCTCACAGACTGAGGTTTCAGCTTTAAACTTAACATAATTCAAACTCAGGTCACATTTGGGAGGCTTTAATACGGTACAAGCTTCTTTTAAGATTTAATAGTATATTTGTAGAATTAGTATACACATACAAAGAGCTGTTTCAACTTTAATAATATAGATAAATATCTAGAGCTACCAGAAAAGGCCCAGCACAAACTTTGGGCTGGGCCACATTCCTAAGGGCCCAGTGCGTACTTTGGACTGGGCTGCTTTCTTTTAAACCATGTTTTAGCTACAGTTAGTATAGGTTTCTTTCTACTTATTATGGAAATTGAATTTATTTTATTCATAGAAAGTATTGTAGAATAGGTTATGCTACGTCAGTGAATTATGTCAGTTCAAGCATGATCAAACATGATATTTTGAGGTTTAACAAGAATACAGTTAACTTTAAAAATTACATTGTTTCCATCTTCTACATTTGCGGTTTTGGCTTTAATACAATTTACAGTTTATACTTGGGTTTTATTTTTTAGAAGCTTTATTGCTGATGATCAGGATTAGGAATTAGAAACTTTTATAGAAGTTAAAATAGATTTATAGGATGTCGGAACAGCCATTTTGTTAAGAGATTGTAATCAATTGTTCCCAGAAACGGCCCAGTGTGATCTTTTGACTGGGCCACATTCCTTAGGAATTGGTTTGGGCTATAATTAAGAGTTTCTACAGTGTAGGTAGAATTAGCATAAAATAGAGAGGAATTGGGATTTAGGTTGGTCATTAGGTGTTGTGGATGCATAAGTTTTAAAAGTTATTGATCATGGGAATATTATGATATTAGAATTGTTATATTGCTTTTGAGAAATATTAACCAAGCATGAGAAACAGTGAGATAGTCTTGGGATCCTCATTCCTCATGCTTGAGGAAACACCTGGTGGGTGGGGGAACGCCCCTCATCCACCTGGCCCTATGTTCACGTAAATGTCTTGTGATTTAATTGGGATTGCCCTTCCTCTTACTCCAGGAAACACCTGGTGGGTGAGGGATGCCCCTCATTCACCTGGCTTTGTGTTCATGTAAAAGTTTTGTGATTTAATTGAGATTGTTCTTCCTCATGCCTGAGGAAACACCTGGTGGGTGGGT